CGCTGCCCCTGGAGCACTTCCTGCAGAGGATGGCCCGGAGACCCCGGCCCCAGCAGTTCTTCGGCCTGATGGGCAAGCGGGACGCGGGTGAGCGGGCAGGGGTGGCTCCCTCGCTGCATGATGCCTCTTCCCCCAGGGCCGCTCCAAACTTTACAGCGGTTGTCGCTCGATTTCAACGCATTAAACCTTCCCCTAAAATTGTGACGCAAGTTGTTTGGGTTTAGTTCTAGTTTGCGGGGTGTTTGGGCTTTTTTTTGTTTTATTTTTTTCCCCTCAAGTTTAATATCAGATAAACCCACCTATTGGAAAAGAGTGGGCTTCACGTTAAAGTGCTGAGCGCACACCAATGCAATACCCGCAAGGACCGTCGCGACAATTCGTAGGTCGGCATTTCCCCAGTCCCCAAATTGTGTGGAAATTGTGTGTACAATTAGTGCCGTGTTTTCTGCATGTTTACTGAATCAAGGCTTGGTCAAAGCAACTTGGAGCCGAACGGATCTAAATTGCGTGGGTTTAGCTGGAACAAGATTTTGTAGTCTGTTCAAAAAGAAATGCAGTTGTAAATGATCACCTTAGTTTCCCTTAAGTGGAATATGTCTAGGGTGGTTTCTGTATCTGATTCTTCAAAGCATTGCAGTAACATCATATGTATATGCCAGTCTTTTCAACAACTCTTTTTCCTTTTTTTTTCTCTTTCCTTTCCTCTTCCAATCAGGATATGGCCAGATCTCTCACAAAAGTAAGTTAAAAAAACCTGCTAATACTTTAAGTAGTTATTAGAAGATATTCAAATAGGGAATGGTGTATTTGAGGGGATTAGTTAGAAGGTGACTGGGTTCAGCTGGGGACTGGCAGCACTGGTGGTGCAGAAATGTTCTGTCAAAGGCTTGAGCTCCCCCTCACCCCTGCCAGTGCAGCCGTGAGCCCATACCTCAGCTGAGCCACCACAAGCTTTGAGATTGCAATCGGTGTTAATGTGTGGATGTTGCAGCTCTCTCTTATTTCCCATGGGGGGGATTCTGTAAGCCTCTCTCACAGGCAAGCCTGCCAGACTCGGAGAGGAGCAATTAAGACGGCAAAATCTGGAAAATTAGAATAGTGAATTCCCAAATCCCCGAGAATGATTCCACGGGACTGCCTATGTCATTGCACGTGAGATATTGTAGCTGCGCTCTCGGCGCTGCCTGGGTGGGAATCAGACCCCCGCTCGCAGCAGGGGCAGATTGATGATGTGCTGCCGTACAAACAAGCGATCTTGCCCCATTAATAAGCATGACTTGCTTTGCTTCCGTGTAACACCAAGTGGGAGGCGGTGTCAGCAGCGTGGTTTTACCTTGCTCTGCACAGTAATAGTTTTATTCTCTGAATTTATCTGAAGATGCTTAGATAGGAGCCGGAAGACTTTTAATAAGTAAAAATGATCTTGTATTCTGTGAGACTTCCTCTGTCCACAGAGGTCAATAACTGTCCCGGTGTTTTGTGAGCCAAAGATTTTATCGCTAGGATTATGTATTGGAAGACCAATTAAAGAGTCCGATACAAAACTCATGCCAAATTACCTGCTGACTAGAGTAAAAAATTATAGCTTTCTGAAACCGCTTCAGCTTGAATTAATACCTGTGAGGTCTGAGGGTCATTCGTCTTGCTTTGTAGGTGAATTAGTCAAGCAAAATTCTTTCCAAAGAGAAATTTCTAAGTTTGCCTCAAAAGTCATCTTAGAGAAAGAAGGATGACTCCTTTTCATTCCTTATCTGAAACTATAGGGACCACTATATCTGATACGTACTGTAGGCCAAAACTTGGAGTAATTTATTCTTTACATGTCCAGTGCCTTGAGGAGTACTAATGGGACAGGAAGGTAATACCTGAACTTGTAAATATTCCAAAAATAGAGCCAGACTGTCTAGCTCAAACGTGTCCAGACATAGAATCCCATTGGCTTCCTCTCCAGTAAGGGCTCTGCCTGACCTGCAAGGAAAATTTTTCTTCCACGTTACAGAAAAAATCCACCAAGAGGTAGATGAGATGCACCACACAGATGTAGGCTATTCCAAGTCACTGAGGACTTGTGCATTTGCTGAAATCAATAGCAGTTGTACTGGGAGAGAAGTAAGACTCCGTTGTTTGCCATTGTTTTTCCATTATACTTAAAAAAACCAAACCAAAAAGTCTGTCTGAGTTAATGAGAAGATGTCTACTCTCTGGCCTGTGCCTGGGTCTAACCTGTTTAAGTCTGATTAGTCAGACTGATGTTTGTTCTCCGTTGACTGAGTTTGGTGGGAACAACTAGACTGTGAGACAAACAGTTTTGGAGCCTGTGTCTTCCCTCCCTACGAGAACACATTATCTTAAACCCCTGCCCATTTAAAATGTGTTACAACACCCCCAAATATGTTTCTTTTTCAGGGCATAAAACGGACTCCTTTGTTGGACTTATGGGCAAAAGATCTTTAAATTCTGGTATGTATATGACTAGATCTGGTACTCAGTAATATACAGCCTCTTCATTCTGTTGCCTCTGTTCTCTCTCAGTGGATGGAAGCAGCAGGCTTTATGTAGCGTAGACCCAGAGTTCTCTGAAAAAGGATCAGGATTTTCTTTGTTAACCAAGATATTTCAGGGTCCACTTCACTCCAACACTTGAGATGATCAGGCTGGTCTGAGCTGCAGGCAAGGTCAGGTCGAAGTCCCCCCGGGGCATTTTCCTTACTGCCCCATCCTCACCAGCAGCATTTTCTGCTGGTTGCCACAGTGCTAACACAAAAACCCCCTACATTTTACTGACACATCAACAAAAATTCAGAGGCTGAAAATGTAAAGCTCATTTAAGCTTGTGATCCAAATCCAGATGTCCCCAGGTAAAGGAATATCCTCATTGTCTCTGGAGACTGATAGTCCTCAAACTTGGAGCAGAAGGTGGAAGAGCAGAGATCTGCCATTAACACCACCTCATTCTGCAGGTCGAGCTGTTAAATATTCCCAGCCTCTTCCATCTTTTCATTTTACCTAAAAAAAAAAAAATAAAAAAATTAAGAAGCATTTTAAGCTTTGAACTGATACTGTGAATTGGTGTTATCTTCCCATAGCATCCATATAGGGCAGAATCCTCCTCCCTCGCGTGCGCAGCCCCTGTGGGTAACGGCAGACTGCCAGTAGCTCTCGCTTCCCTGTGCCATAAGGCTGTACCGAGGAAACTCCTCACTGTGAACCACAAAGTATCAGTTAATTCCCCAGAATAGGAATTAAAAAAATAAAAAAGCCCTGATATGTATTCCATGTCTCTGAAATAGTTCTCCCTGTTTTGTTAAATGGATGATAAAAGTTAAATTACTAGCTGACACCTTTATATTATGTGGATACACGCTGTGATCTATATTCTGCAATTATGGTTGTCAGTAACTTTTATTTTCAATTAAACCCTGTTCAGACTAGTAATATTGCTCTCTGCATCATTTTGCAAATTGCTATGTATCACGAATAATTTTGTACAATTTTATCTGTGGTGGCAATAGCTATTAAATGCATAATACCTGTAAATATACCTGCTAGCACAAAAGTAAGTAGCCTGGAAGTAATAAATTGGGTTTGGTTTCCATTGGGATTACATTTACGTTAATACCAGAATGTAAAATACAGCAAATGTTTAAAAAAGGCAAAGATTTTATTGCCCTAATTTCAAAATTGCTGGTGTAGTCAGGATACTGTTATGTGGTATTTGTAACAAAGGGGATTAATGAAATTTTACTCCGTCGGGCTACGTAGCACCTGCCTGAGAGGTAAAACTAGAATTTGCTGCTTTTCTGCCCGATTCCCTGAGAGGAAAATGGTAAGAAGTTGCTTCTGCTCCTCTGGAGGAGAAGATAGGTCCTAAGTACTGTGTAATCAAAGCAAGATCAAGTGGCTGAGGGAACTGGGGTTGTTTAGCCTGGAGAAGAGGAGGCTGAGGGGAGACCTGATCGCCCTCTACAACCGCCTGACAGGAGGGTGTAGTGAGGTGGGGGTCGGCCTCTTCTCCCAGGTAATGGGCAATAGGACGAGGGGACATGGCATCAAGTTGTGCCAGCGGAGGTTTAGGTTGGACATTAGGAGAAATTTCTTGATCAAAAAGGTTTGTCAAGCACTGGAAAGGGCTGCCCAGAGAGGTGGTAGAGTCCTCATCCCTGGAGGTATTTAAAAGAAGGGTAGATGAGGTGCTTAGGGACATGGTTTAGTGGTGGGTTGGCAGGGTTAGGTTAATGGTTGGACTTGATGATCTTAAAGGTCTTTTACAACCTAAATGATTCTATGATTCTAAGATCATGAGTGTGTGCTAGGACTGTCCTTACTTCTCCCTGATGAAAGATACTTAAGGGCCTTTTCTTGGTGCTGTGCCTTGGTGCCATGGTTTTCTTCTGCAGAAAGCCCCTGAGTCCCCTGGCCATGCGTAGGAGTTGACACCGCCCCGCTGCTGGGTGTGAGTGCGGGCTGATTTAAAGCCTGGTGTGACAAAGCAGAGTAGTGGGGTGCGGGTGTCTCAATTCCTGGTTTGGTAGAACGGGGTGTGACACTGACTGTCTCCCTGGCTGGGCAGTCTGTCAGATGAACAGTCCAGGTAAAAGCTAGAAAACAGTCACATGTACAATAAAGATACCATAACAATCCATATTGAGAAAGAAAACTCAGCTCATTTTGCATTTAGCCTGGTGAAAACTGAAGTCTTGCTAATTTAAAACCGTCACTGATCCAAAATGCCAGCTCCCTGCAAGATGCAGCACTGAATCCCCCCAGACTGGCTTGCATTGCATGCAGTAGTCAGGCATGCATACGCTCCATGAAAGCCATCCTCCCTTCGGGGTCGAAGCAAAGATGACGCTGGTGACCAGCTATGTCACCCCATGGTCAGGCTCTGCCCAAGAAGGGCTCTCTGGGTTTCCCAGCCATTTCAAAAGAGCAAGAAGGAGAGATCTACTGCTACTAAATGCTAAATATGTCACTGAAGGCTGTTAGGCTGTGGTTGGTCCACAGGGTTGTCTGAGGTTTGCTTAGCTCCTGCTGCAGATTTCAGTAAAAGGTATCACTGTGTGCAGGGCTTGGGGACAGGGAGGGTTTAAACCTGGCAAAGAGCCAGATTGCAGGACAGGAGGTGGCCGTGGCGATGCAGAAAGCCTCTACCCACAAATTGATCTGAGTGCTCAGATCCCATCAGTTAGATGGATTACGGGAATGTAAAAAGGCTCTGAGTTAATGGTGCTTCAAGCAGCTCAATAGATGAGAGGTAGAAAGCACTGCTCAGACCTTCAGCCTCCTGGAGGACAGTGTAGTCTGAAGGGTAAAACCAAATGAAAACAGCTCAGGGCTGTGTCAGGATGCCTCATCTCCGGTCCAAGCGTTCTGGCGGGGTCCGGCGGTGACCCAGCAGGCTGCAGGTCTCCAATGTTTTCTTGTGCTTGCTGGGGTTTACTCAAGGCTGCACCGCGTGCTTCATTCTGCTTCGTTTTTTGCAGGATCCTCTGAAAGGAGCATAGCACAGAATTACGAACGGAGGCGTAAATGAGACATTCCCACGCATTATTTATTAAACTTCATTTGTTCCAATGGCCAATGCAGTGTAATATAAACTAACCGCTGTACGGAATAATTATTTATTTAATAATAACCGATGGTTTGGGGTTTTCTTTTTGAGTTGTACATTCAATAAAAGGATTATTTTTCATATTGTGGCAGCGATACATGTTGTGTAGGTGCGTTGTGGTTCTGAAAGGACCAGCAACCCTGGTGACGTCTCACAACAAAGCACATTGTTTGATATGACCCGTAAAGTTATGTTCACTAAACAAGGAGAATATTCTTTTGTTTGTTGAAAGCGAGTCTATCAGCTTCACAGCCAGTGCAGAACAGAGCTGATGTACAGTCTAGTGCCTCAATTTGTTTTCATGGTTTATAATGTACTGTAATTTCCGTATCAAAAAATATATTTGTATCATTGCAGCATGTTTTATGTTTTGTGACTACGTACCTATATATTTTAAAAAGCGGGGGGTGGGGAGTAGGGTTTGAATGTGAATCCGAGGTCTTCATTTCATAGTCTGGAATTTTATGATAGCAGCATTTTAAATAAAAACTACTCTGGGGATTTTGCAACATACTTTCTTTGGTGATAGTGATGGCGTTATTTCCCAAGTCGGTCTGGAATGAGACTCAGATCCAAGCGACAGGGGTCTGAGGTGGGAAATAAATATCAAATTGATGTCTTCCTTTTGGAGAGAGGCTGTGAGCCTCCTAGTGTGGGTTTGGTGAATGCTTTGGGGGATTTCCTGCTGGAGACAGGCATTGCCAGGATTGCTCTGGGTCACGCAAGGTGCTGTCCATCCTAAACCTGGTGGAAATTAAGAAGTGTATTGACTGAATGAAAAGGGCCCAATGTATCCCCTAGCTCCAAGTGGAACCATTTGCTGTGGAATTCATCCCCTATCTCAGGTTTATTATTTGAAAGCCAAGCTTTTAATAAATTCTGGCTCTCAGATTCACAATTAAAGCACCTGTTGGCTTGAATCCATGCAATGTAAGAGAAAAAAAATGTGAGTGTAATTATCTTTTTAATTAAAATGTCTGGTTACTATATTTCTAGGACAGTCCCCAAACGCTACATACATCTCACCAAATGCCAAGGCATCTGGAGATCTATATTCTTTCCGCCAGCCAAAAGCTATGGTTCTCCTGTTTGATAGGAGCTTTCATCACAGATGAATCAGCAGTGAAAACAGCCAGGGTACACAAACCAAATTTCAAAATAAGTAATACAGAGTGGTTAACTGGTGGGTTTTTTCCATTTCGGAAGTGAACTCGGCAACCTCCATTTTAAAGTTTACCTGGGGCATCCCCACAACTGCACCCATTAAGAGCAAGTGGGCATAAGACCTCCCTCCTGCCAGGTTAAGATCAGCACCTGAGCCTGCCCAAGCTTAAGCCAGACCCTGCTTCTAACAAAGTAGGAGCCGGTTCTAATGAGGTGGGGAGCTACACGGTGGGAAAACCGAGGCAGACTTGCAATGGGGGACCGCGCTCATGTGAGACACAGGGGTTTAATTAGCGCTCTGCCAGCCCTTTGTCTTGCCAGGGCTAATTCTCAGACAAATAAACTTCTCTATCAGCTCCCAGTGAGCTCAGTGAGGGGGGGAAGCTGATTGCTGGGCTAGCAGCATGGCAAAAGGAGTGCAGCAACACGTGTTGAATAACGCTCAGTGAAGGGTAAAAAGAAAAAGCTTTGAAATGCTGTCCCCTGAGCCTGGAGGCTCATGGTGCTCCCAGAGTTCACAGCCCATGTGCGCTGGATTGTGAGACACGGAGAGGAAGGGAAAAGCCCCGCTGCTCACTCCCTGCAGCCTGCACATCTCACAAACCTCCCTGCAGAAGCAATCACTGCAAACATTTGCATCCAGAGAAAGTCATGCAAGACAGAGTGGGCTTTAAGTGTTCGGAGGACAGCACAGATATTAGTTAACAGCACCCAGCCAAGGGTTGGGATTGAATTTTCTGGCAAAACCATAGAATCATAGAATGGTTCGGCTTGCAAGGGACCTTTAAAGATCATTTAGTCCAACCCATGGCAGGGACATCTTTTCTTAGATCAGGTTGCTCAAAGCCCTGTCTGACCTGACCTTGAATACTTCCAGGGATGGGGCATCCACAACTTCTCTGGGCAACCTGTTCCAGTGTCTCACCATCCTCATTGTAAAAACCCTGCCTTCTTTCAGCTCAAACCCATTGCCCCCTCATCCTATCTCTACAGGCCTTGGGGAAAAAAAAATTATCTCTGTCTTTCTTTTAAGCCCCCTTTATATATTAAAAGGCCTCAGTAAGGTCTCTCCAGAGCTTTCTCTTCTCCAGGCTGAACAACTCTGTCAGCTTTTCTTCATAGGAGAGGTGCCCTAGCCCTCAGATCATTTTAGTAGCCCTCCTCTGGCCCTGCTCCAACAGTTCCATGTCCTTCTTGTGCTGAGGGCTCCAGAGCTGGACGCAGTACTCCAGGTGAAGTCTCACCAGAGCAGAGTAGAGGAGCAGAATCGCCTCCCTCGACCTGCTGGCCACACTGCTTTTGATGCAGCCCAGGGTATGTTTGGATTTCTGGGCTGCGAGTTCACATTGCCAGCTCATGTCCAGCTTTTCATCCACCAGTACCCTCAAGTCCTCCTCCACAGGGCTGCTGCTCCTCAATCCCTTCATCCCCCAGTGTACATTGATTGATACCAGGGGTTGCCCCGACCCAGGTGCAGGACCTTGAACTTGGCTTTGTTGAACTATAGGAGGTTTGCATGGGCCCACTCCTCAAGCCTGTCATGGTCCCTCTGGATGGCATCGCTTCCCCCAAGCATATCAACTGCAACGCCATCATTTTCTCTAGAAGGAAAGGCTGACCCTCCAGCGTCAAAATATTCTCACCAGTCTGATGACTGGTTTTAATTTATCATTTGAAACAACTCATTTTAATTTATATAGGCAAAATAATGTCAGATTTGCGCTAATTTAGGTTTCAAACAATAAGATTAAAATTGGCATTGATTTCTATGTTTGTACAGACATACATTCCAAGCTAGAAATAAACCAAACACAGACCAAAATGCGCAGCCTGATATGTTCCAACTATCTCTGCCAATAATACAAAAAACCCCTCATCACGTTTCAGCGCTGGGGATCGTTCGGCTGAGCTGTGGTGCATCGGGGCTGCGGGGCCGTGCCCACCCCACGGGGCTGGGGCATCCAGCCCAGCAGCTGCCTGGCCTCACTGCCACCCTCCTAGCCCAAACACGTGTCCTCACCGGCATCCTGTGGCCCTCAAGATTCAAACAGAAATTCTTATTCTTATATCTTTTTTTTCAGCCTTTAGTATTAAGCGATATAGTCTATACATTATTGAGTACTTCAAAGGGACTTTTAAATAATTTCTGTAGCCTTTAATCTCCCTTTTGAGGTTCCTTCAGCTTTTAAACACTTTTGTGTGTTGGACAGCATTGCTTGCAGCCCCAGGCCACTCGTGCCTCAGATCGCTGGGCGATGCCCAGCTCCACTACAGGCTTTGGAGGGGCTTTCACTAAATCCCCCGCCGTCTCTGTGACAGCCGGCCATAACCATGACACAGACTTAGCTCTGCTTTGACAGCAATAGTCTGACACCCTTCAGGCTGCATAAGCTAATCGATAAAGCTGCAGCAAGGGCATTTGTCAGTGGAAAGCAAGCGAGCTTTAAATAAAGTAATAAAAATCTTTCTAGGGAAACAGCACAGAGTAAACCCAGGGCGATGCTGGTTATTGTCCCCACTGGGGAGGTGCTACAGGCAGTCTGACGCCACAGCCCATCTCCAACATGCTCTGCCCCCTTTTTGCTTCTCTTTTCCCCCAGAAATCCATCATTCATCTGCATCATGGCAGGCAGCTGCTCTTCTGGTAGGCACTGTCTCTGTCACACGCACAGGCACTCCCCTATCCCCTTGCCCAAGAGTGACCCAGAGGACCATCAGCTCCATCCATCACCTCCATCCCTCCGCTGTTGCATGTTGCATCTGCTCCCCCATTGCGCAGATGTAGCCAAACTTACCCCGGGGAGCCAGAGCCACAATGTACATAGCCCCCTGTGAAACAGGGAGTGGGGAGGGGGAGCTGGCTCCCCCTATACACCTTGCCAGGTGAGCCTGGGCTCTGCAGTGCTTGCCCACCCGGCAGCCACGAGTGAGTCCTTTGCTGTGTCCACATCAGGAGGCTGGTATTTTTTAGCTGGTCCTAACCAAAAGAAAAGGAAGAATCTGGAAACGTCTGGGCACAGAGATCTTTGCGGGCAACCCAGCCCCCAGCAATCGTTAGCTAGAGCAGAATAACATCAAGAGGTTTTTTTAAATTATTAAAGTGATTCTTAAAAATGCTGTTTATTCAGAGTATGCCAGTAGCAGCTCCTTCGGAGCTACCAAGAGCCATTATTTAAATGCAGGCTTTGTCCCTGTATCTTTTCAAACTACGTCTCAGATAACTGCTTTAGCATAAAGAGATACCAAGCAAGTCCCAGTGCAAACTTCGGTGATGACCACATTTTTTTATGATGAGCCCGAACAGTTCCCTTAGCCATAGTATCGCAGCCTGCATTAAAAGATGTCTCCTGGAGCGCCGGGATGAGAGCACACAGCAGCTTCTTCCCTGGAGTTGTACCGTGTCAGGATGCAGCCGCCTGCAATTCTGTGTATGGCTCTGTGTCCTCACGCTACCTCCAAAATAGCTCAATTCCCTTTACAGAAAATAGTCATTACTGGAAGAGTAGGGTTTGTTTTACTTTTTTTTTTTTTTTGCTATTAGCAAGCATTAAAAATTATCACTGCTCCATCCCCGATAGATATCTGGTTTCTGTCAGAATAAACCAGCAACTCATCAGCTCAGAAACTCCTTTTTAGAGAGGTATGCAGAGCACATGCAACAAACATCACCTCTTGCTTTCTACGTCCAGCTCTAAATTAAACAATATCACCACTTGCTGTATATAGAAGAACTGAAACATGAACAGTATTAAAGAGCC